GAGTGCACCCTCGAGAGCTTCCCCCACTTGAAACCATAGGAATTCCAAAGCAGAAGTTGGAAACACATTAAGCTACTGGAGCACGATGTCTGCAAACTGCAAGCCCTCTTCATCTGACTGCAGCTGACAGCTAACTGGCATTCTGCCAGAGCACGATGTCGTAGATCGTTGGCATGGACACCCGCCCCTTCGAGGCCAGAACTAGTGCCTCGCAAGGCGTTGCACGAAAACAAGCTGTCGACCATGGACAGTTTGTTGAAGTATGGTTACGAGATTGCAGCGTTCACTAGGTGGGGTGCAGCCACAAGATGACCGGTTCTAGACCATGGACATGCCAAATTCTTGTCCCGCCAGACTTCAAGCTGGTGCTTGGATCAGAAAGTCAACTCGAGCCTTGTGCAACCATTTGAGCCTGCCTTCTGGCCTTTTGTGGACAACCTGCAAAACGTTGCAACCAAGGCGGCAGTATCAGCTGACTGAAAACAGCGCAGGCAAGTTCAGCCTCCCGTTTGTCCATTGCCAAGTCTGCAGCCTCCTTCTTTTCTTTCTCTTGTACCTGCCATCAGGTGGAGCCATTTTTGCGGACAGGTCACCATCTGACAGCACCTACAAAAGATAACCGTCACTGAAAACTTCTCAGTGGCTCCTCATCGACCTTGACTTCTTTTTTGTGCCGCCGGGACATGACCTTTGCATGGAGAAAAACCTGATTCATGCATCTCTAGGTTACAATGAAGTCGCTCTTCAAAGACACTGTAGCTATGAGCTACACGTTTGCTGCGTGTGCCTCCCCGGCCCACTGCTCATCCACTTTGGTCGGGTCAATACCAGCCTCAGCAATGTGCTCGGTTGGGCTTTTGCAAAGATCACACGGCAACTTCATGCAGCAAGCAGCAGCACGCATCCGGAGCTCGTCGCCCTTCTGCCTCTGGGCTTCGCTCCTGCCAAGCCAAACTGCAGTGAGGTCAGTTGCTGAAGGTAATCAGTCACCTGGAGATCATGACCCCGCTGCTGAAGGAAGCCATCTTGACCGACTTTGATGTCATTGCAGTTTAGCTTAGCCTGAGCTTTGTTCGTTGGGGGACTGTTGGGAGCTATCATGCACGAGGTCAGAAGCTTATCTGAAAAGGTTCCAGGACAAAGGGCTCAAAGCTGGAGTGGTCACCTGTGCCCTGTGCCAAGGTTCTGCACTACACCATTTGGTTTCAAAGTCGTTGCTGCGCTTACCTGCCTTTGCTCGGAGAGAGTGGTCCATTGGCCATGTACTTATGAGGATGGCTGAGGATTCATGCGGTTTGTGCTTTGGCTTGGCATGGATCTCCATTGTTCAGACAGCTTGCAGTCCGGGAGCCAAACGGCAAAAAGTCGGACGTGACACGTTCCAACATGTTGGCACATCTCAGAAAGGCCTCTGTCCTCTGATGTCCCCTGCGCACGAATGCCTGCGGCTGGCAACCTCTTGCTCCGCAGTCCCTGACTCGCTACATGTCGCAAAATTTTCCACCAGTCAGCTGGATGCCTGGTCTCAGCAAACCTCACTTTAGTTTCCGGTGAGAATCACTGCGAAGGCGGACTCCGGCTTGATAGCTGCCCTTGCCTAGTCAAGCTGGGCAAGCGCTGACTTCAAGCCACAGGCCCACAGCACCAACCACCACATGATGTCGCTCACGAAAGCTCTTTGCCAAAATCACGTGAGTCCAGATTTGTAACTTTGCGGGACAGAAGCCATCACGCCGCTGCTTCCACATCAGCAGCCTGCTCCTGGAGATATCCAAAAAAAATAAACACAACTGTTCCACAGTCTGTCCTTGTCTAGTCCCTTCACACCATCATCCTTGTCATCTCCCTCTTTGGCCCTGCACGACCAATGAGATGCTGCTTGCAGACGATTCCGTGCATACTGCAATTCCTCTCTTGGCGAGGTGGAGCCGGGGCCCCAGGCTCGTCAACAAACTCTCGCCGGTGGGTCATGCGGAAGAGGGCAGCTGCCAGCAGCCCACCAAAAAGCTCAGAAGATAGCAGTGCCTGCATCTTGCGGTATGGAACTTTTCTTTCAAACTGGATTTACCTGCATTCGTCGCGAATCCCAACTGCTGTTCAGCTTCGAGTTCCGGCTAGCCCTTAATCATCAGCAAACAGCGCCAACCCCAACCAGCAAAAGCTGAGGCAGTGACCACCCAGCTTGCTACTGGACCCATGCCTTGGTGCATACCCTAGGCCAAAGATTCCAGTATCAGAAGGGCAGAAACGAAGCTCACACCCTATGCAGGTTTGGGTGTGACAGCTAGTAGCTACTGTTTGCAGTGCATACCGAGCGGCCTCCCTTGCCTCAGCTAATTTCACCATACTTGAGTTGTGCACCAAAAAGGTATGAAAGCGCAAGTGCTCTTTTGCCTTCACATGACCCCACTACTGCAACATGCCAAGGCCATCCAATTGCAAGCAAAAGGGCCAGGATTCACAACGTTACCGATCATCAGTCCCAGGACAACAGACGGGTTCAGTTCACCTGCACATGCTCAAACCTTGCAAGCTTGCTAACTTCCGTCACTTGCCAATTAGGAACGACACCTCCAGAGACAGAACCTACCGCAAAGCTGCCGCCGGTGACGGTTGTAGCAATCACAAGGCCGAAGAAATCCTTGGCGACTGGCTCCTCCGCAGCGGAAATTCACAATGCCCACACTACGGGCCCGTGATCCTTCACAGTGACAACGCTGAGGACAACGTAGCCCAAGAACCTGAAAAGGCTGCGAGGCAGGAGCAACGCAGAGCGAAGCAACTGCTTCTTCCCTTTAACCGCAAACTTAGCCGAGACTCATTGTCGTCACCAGTTCAGCGATCGATGCCTGTCAAAACGCTGTAGCTTCACATGCTAAGCTTCTAAGCGCGAACGGGCTTTTGGCAAAGAGAAAAACTAGCAGGCAGCCGTTGAATAGGCCTGCACGAGGTCGAAGCCCCTTCCAGGAACCAACCTTGACACTATACTGACAAAAAGAAGTGAAAGAAGAATGAAGCAAGACAGAACTGTCATCGACCAAACACAAAGTGTTCCTTAGCTGGCAGCTTGATCGACTTGTCTGCCACTGCTGAGCCCATGTGATACGCTGCATAGACCTTGGATTGCTACGGGATACTGGCTTGCAGACGAGAAATGTGCCGTTGACAGCTGGCATGAAGTAGTCAGGTCCAGGGTACGAGGCCCGCGAGCAGCCCACCAACAATTTGGGCAAGGATGTAGCCTCTTCAGAGCTTTATGTCATTGCAGGTTAGATGAGAGTGCCGGGTCAAGCCAATTGACACCACACAACTGCAAAAGCCTCCAGCATCACGTCGGGAGATCTTCTCGCGACCTCCAGCAAGCACAGCAACTGTGACCTCGGTAAATCATGGCGTCAATGATGCCTACGGAGTGACAACGCGTCTGGGATGCTTGCAGCTGGGTTGAGATGCGCCCCAGAAACATTTCCAAGAGAATAAATCATGCACCTCGGCGGATAATAAAAGTCATCACTACTTGCAAGAGCTCCGTACTGCTTGCATGGGATTGCTCCCAGATCTGTAATCAACAACTTTCCAGGTGCATTTGCCAGTTCAGGGCGCATGAGGGCAGCAGCGGCCGAGTAGGCGGTGGCATGGGATCCCGAGACCTCGAAACTGTGATTGACATGGAAAAAGCCGGATGTGGCAAACTCTTCATGTGCAGAATTAGGCTCTCAAGGTTGTTACTACACACAGAGTTGAAACAGGAAACTGTTGGCACCTGAAGTTTCTTCTGACACTGCATGCAAGGCACAATGTTCAATCCAACGGTCACCACCAGCATGAAGGTTCCGAAAGCTTCCTTGCAGAAAGGCCCAGTGTCGACCAAAACATGTTGTTTGACAACATACCCTTGACTCAGCATTCTGCTGACTGCTGCACGAGGCACTGCCAAACATCGTGTCTTCAAATCTGGCTGGTCTGTGGAGGCCTTGTCAAACCTCAGGCGCGCTCGTCTCGTTGCAGTCTTCGTGCCAATCTGAAACGTTCAGAAAAGCAGTCCTACTTTGCAGTCAAAAGCTACAACTCCCAACACTTGCAGGCTAGTCGGCTAATTACCCCTGCATCCGGTCTTCCGGGGAACTCCTCCGGTCGCAGAGCGCGGTAGAGTCCAGCAGCCACAGCAGCACCCGCGAGTTCTGCCGCAAACCAGACGAGAGCCCAGTGCGGGTCCTCCAAGAGAAATCAGACTTTATTACGTCTATCTTTAAAAGCCTTTAAAACATCTTGGCATCTCTTTGCATCTCCTTGCCGCTGCCGAGGCCCAGGGTCACAGAAACCGCCGGATTCAGCGCAGCCCCGGAAATGCGCCTCGGCGTGCGAGCCGAGCGCGGGCTTCGCGTTCTGCAGATCAAAGGGAAGCGCTTAGCGCCCGGGTCGTTCTGAGGCCACGACCCGATAGAATGGCCACCAGCAAGAATGACAAAGCCGATAGCCAAACCATAGAATCTAGGTGCCAATCCAATAATGCAATGGATATGTGAAAGCACACTTTCTTTGGTTCGAGGATGAGAGCTAACTTCCACACGAAACATCCTGTGAGAGCACTGGCTAGCTGCCTTGGTTTTTTTGGCGAACATGAGACTTACATGCAGTCTGTAGGAGCTGGTTGGGTGTGTTCCTCTTTGCCACGGCGCAGCTCAGCACCACGAACACAAGCATGGCCTTGATGAATTGAATCAAAAGCTCGACCAGAGAAATACACTGGTCCTCCCCCCTCTGGGCACTGCACAGTAAACAGTGCCTCCCCTGCAGCTGCCTCGGCTTTGGCAATGGTTGAACAGTTGAAATAACAGTCGGACTCTACAGGATACAGAACAGAAGACTGTATCCAAGTGATTTCTGCTGAGGGTAGGGTCCACAGAATCCAGGGCCAAAGATCAACTTGAATCATTGAAAATCGATGTGTACCCTGTGCACCAAACATCTCGCTTCAACACTGCCATGTTACAACAGTGCAGACGGCAAGAAGATGAAATCATCCACGAAGTACGTGCGTCAAGAAACAATACTACAGGTTGACCAACTGGGGCAGTGGCATAGCCAACACTGAAAGGCGGCACAGGGGCCACCACGGCCAAATGGGGTGCACCTTGCTACTTGCCAAACGTCACTAGAAACACCTGTTGGGATGCAGTTGGCGATGACATGTAAGCTGGGCGGTGAGCAGACGATCTTGTAGACTGCTGCGGCCATGAATGCCCCCATGAACTGGAAGAGCCAGTAGACCAACATCCCAGCAAAGGACCTCTGTGTGCTTCCAAAGGTTGGTGGGTTCAAGACGTTTCCTTTTTCAGCTCACATGTAGAAAGTGTACAAGACCATGCCCTCTCCAGGTCTGAGTGAATGAAGCCACGAGGCTTCTTTCCCAGCATTGCCATGGCAAAGGTCACCGCTGGATTGAGGTGCCTGGGCCACAAGCGAAACATTATGTAATCACGTCCATATGGGACCAGGAAGAGCTGGAAGTCCACCAGTAAGATAAAAGTTTTGCCGCGGATGCCCTTGGAGAGACAATAAGAACTAGGGCAGGGTCTAGGCGAATCCGCTTCCGAAATCGTCTGGCCACTGCAGCATCAGATAATTACTCCGACGCTCTGCAGCGTACAACAAAGAAATCCCCTCTCACAGTGTGAATTGCCAAGACGTCCTGTATGCAAACGAAGACTGCTTTGTAGAAGCATGAAATGCTTTATTTCGGAGACATGCCTACCTCAGATTCACAGGTCATCAATGCAGTCGGGAAACCCACCCGAGATCGGAGCAGTGGCATAGATCATAACCACAAGTACCTTACAGGGCAGTTAGCCAAACAAACCTTGCTGTAGGCTGGGTCGAAATCCCTGCTTGGGCCCTTTGTAGAGACGGGCCACACGCAACCTACTTTCGCCCTCTCACAGACTCCCAGGCACCGAGGCAATTGAAGTAGCAGCCCATGGCGATGGTGTGGGAGAAGTGACCTAGCTTGATCATCATTCAATTGGCCCTCGGAACTTCACTTTCTGGGTGAGCTTTGGTGCACCGTTGGACAGCACCAGTGCCACTGTGCCCCTTGTACATTGCGTTATTCTTGCTTTTCTCTGGTTTGCTGGTTGTTCTGCCAGCTTCGACACTGCTGCCCGGCCACAACGCATCCCACTGTGAAGACCAGCGCGAATGTGCCCAGACCTGTGGATCGCAAGACATGAGCTAGTAACTCAGTCCTTGCTACATGGCCTTCGGCAAATAGGGGCGCCAACCTCAGGCTGCGAGAGCTCCAAATCACAGTGCGAGGAGCTTACGAGCTGAGATGCCCCTTCAGGAAAGAGTTGAGAATGATCTTCATGTATTCATCTGCATTACCTGGACAGGCGAGATCTTTTGCATGGTTCACCTCCGCTCGTAGTTTGCTTTGTCCAGCAGAAGACCAATATGTAGGCTCCGCCGTACAAGTGGCCATCGCAACTATACTTCTCACATCACAATTCACAAGCTGCAGGCATCAACGGTGCAATGCTGGTCTACTCATGCGTGGGGCACACGGGCAAGGGACTACAAAAGCTTCATCAGCCCGATGGGGCAATTGCCCCTTCGCCCCGTCCGTGAGCTGCAGATGAATGCGTGACCAGGCTTCATGATCATCATTCAAACTTGCAGCAGATCAAGGCGGAACCAAGGTACGCATGATCTCATTGAGGACCTCTTCTGGAGAAAGGCGGGGTGCATCCCGGGATTCCCTGGGCAGGCAACCAAGCTTTGCTGCCCCTTTCAACAATGAATTACAAAGCAAACTTCGCAAGCAAAAGGCTTGTACGATATGAAAATTGATGTTCAAACCCGCTGCCTGCCCTGACCAGCGTCTCCAGCTGGTGAAGGAGTGGAACCATAAGCAGCATCGGCCTGACCTTTGACATAAATGAGAACTTGTGCAACGTTTGAATCAACACGTCCGCCAGAGCATCACTTGGAAGACAAACCAAACGGCTGAAATCTATCTGCTCTGCAAAGCGCGGCCTTCCAGAAGAGCACGATCAGGAGCTTCAACGGACTGCGCTGTGGCTGCCATTGCGAATCTCAGGAATTCATTCAGCAGGCGCAAAAGAACCCCAATCTCTGCTGTCCACCGTTCTGTACACGACTGCAAAAACCTATTTTGGTGTCACGATGCTAACCAGCATGAGGTGGCACAAGGCTTCCGAATGCACGTCTTTGCACTCGCGCACTGTCAAAGCAAAAGCCTATAACCACACAGCATCGGTTTATGAAGGAAACAAATTTGGATGTTTCATGCGTCAAGCCTGCATCTCGAACGTTGACAGAAAGTGTCAAACAACCGGCATCCATCGTGGTCATCATCCGTATCAGGGCGACACTCGACTCCGAAGCAACACAGCCACAACCCCAAACCGCACTAAACAACTCTTCAACTTTTGAAACAAAACCACGGGTCGCCTTCAACGTACCAAGGAAGACCGCAAGCATGTCTTACATTCTAACATGCAGCCAAGCAGCCAAGTTTCAGTCAGCTTCGTGGATTTTCGAAGCTTTGCTTGCGGTTGAGAACTTACAGCTGGCGGGGAATGCAAGCAACCATTTTGAACGCAAGAATGTATGACATAACGACTACGCAGACCAGCACTACAACAACTGATGATTTGCAGCATTGCAAATGGCTAATGACAAATTTGCGGGCTGCACAATTTATGAAACATGCTATTCGAATCTGTATAATTTGCTTGAAATGTGCGGTTCTCAACTGTCGATGCGAAGGCAAAGTTGCATTTGTCAATGTTGACTGTTAAGTTTCGGGGAATGGATAATGATCTTCAGAATGAATGCTTTGTAGGATGGTCGCCAACACTATTCCAAGAACTTAAACATATACTCAAAATCGAGCATGTTGTATTCATATTCAAAGGACAAATACTTTGTGAAGTCTATCTGTTTCCAGTGCATCTACTTGCTTCAATTTCGAGATGACGCTGTATAAGCACGCGGCGAAATTGCAAGCAGAAAGCTGCGCAAAGTCTTGGTACTTCCAGACCCGTGGCAAAACAGGTCGTACCAAGGCGATTTATGCACTTGCGCACCTCCTGTATAGGTTGCACACTACTACCCAAAAAACAAAATTCGTGTCACGGTTCTCTGAGAATCCAGACAACGTCGTCAGACGTGTCTCATGTGCTGGGCTTCTGGTTTAACATTTTGCATGACAAAACATGAACCAAATTCCACCAACCCACATGCTGATGCTCATGGCCAGCATCGTGATGGTACCACAATCTCCCCACATCGTCCCATGCGGGATGGAGAGCCTGAGCTGCATCTCGAGCAACCAAAACACCAGCTCGAACACGACTCCTCAAAAGTTCAATGAGCTGAAAGCACAACCAGCAGCAAATTGGCAACGCCAATCACAATGTACCCTCCATAATAGTGTCATGTAGCGCATTGGCCTTCTACTTGTGTTTTCCTCGTGCTCTCTTGACCTTACCGTTAAAAATTCTGCATGCTGCTTCGTCCAACTGAGTTATTTGGCTGGAGCAGACCAAGACATCACAGCTTACATGACGGCCAGAGAAGTCAAGTCCATTGGCACATAGGCGATGCTGGGGTCATCCGAGGACGACATTAGCAGGCCTTTGATTCAACGGCTTCTAAATGGATGGAGGGACTGCCGTCAAACTCTTTTGCGCTGGCACAGGGTCATCTGCAATGCAAGTTGTGGTGTTAAAGGGTGTTTAATGAAGGTTTTAAGATCTGAAGAGAGGTTTAAGGGCGTTCTTCAGGGAGAGGGAGGTATTGTAAAAATCTCACACCCTCTTTAAGATCGTAAGGCGAAGAGAAAAAAGAGTGTAAAGGCTGTTTAATGAAGGTTTTTAAGACCGTCGGCAAAGACGAAGTCTGCTGAGAACCCGAACGCAGTAGGTATGCGTCATTTGCTCCCCCAAGGAGCAGCTGACTTGAGCATATGCATCCTGCGCTTCTAGCACGGTGCCTGACAAATTCCTGGCTGTGGCGTACGTGTTTCTGCAACCACACCATCAACCTACTTCCTTGCAAATCTGACGCACTACTAGCGCGTCCTCGTCTGATGACCTTGTTTCAGGTCGACGTTGGCCTACATGCCTGGAGCCACAGGGTGATCTGACTTGCTTGGCTGCGCGCAACAACCCTCGCCCTTTGACACCTTGTATACACGTGCGCTGCAGCTTGCACACTGACGTTGGGTGATGCAGCCTGCCTCATTCACATCCTTGCCTACCAAATCTTGCAGTGGAAACATGTATAGCATGTCGCTGCTCATGTGAGACGTTTAATTTTAGATAGGTAGTTTGTTCCAGCTCTCTGAGCCCTTTGCTTATTGAGCGATAAGACGGCAAGGCCCCTATGCGCCAACAATGGAGAACTTCAATTTGCAGTTCCGACGCCAAGAGCGTCAGAGTGTCTCTCTGGATATAGGAGGCTCCTGGTCTTGGAGAATGCAACCCACGCCATCCGAGCTTCTGCCGATGACGGAGAAAGCCTGGTAGTTAGACTTACCACTCTTGATGATTCGGTTGATAACATACAACGCCAGCTCCAGGGGCCCAACCTCATCGGGTCTTGGCTCCATGATTGGATATTGACAGAAAGTTGGCACAACTTGAGAATTTGTCCGGCATTTGCGTGGCATCCTCGCTCGCAGCACGTTTTGCTCGTTGCTGAGCAGACTGTTGGAACGGCAACTCTTCGAATCCTAAGTGAGAAATGGCACCTACTTGACCTTGCCCTCTGCTGTGAATCGTCTGCCGACCAAGGCAAAACGTCTACAACTCCTTCTTAACCACTCATTGCTGCCCAGCCTTGGGGCCTTACAACTGGCAAGTCCTGCAGCTCAGGCATGCTGCGTTTGTCGGACCCTCACTTTAGAGCGCGTATTGTCTCATCAGTTCAGCCATTTGCTTGGGTGTACGCAGCGACGCTCGTTTGCCTTGATTTACCAAGTAAGGACGGCGCGCTGTGGGGGTGCCGTGCTCAAGAATCGATACGCTGCCCAGGCCACTTGACAGCCTGGCTGTGCTGGCCTTACGTACTGCAGTAAGCCATAATTTATTCTTTCAATATGTGCGCACGACTGCTCTTTCAGTGTCCTCTCAGCCTGGCTTCTCCTGCTCACTCCCTGTTCCAGCTTGCGTCGCCCATGAAGCAAGCACGTCTTAGTTCAACTGTTCCTGCAGAAGACCAAACTGGAGCGCCTGCATGAGTAAGGTTCGGCACCTCTCTGACACAATGAGCAGTCAGACACCTATGTTGAGTTCCTGCCTTGCGTATGCTGCGCGCGAACTCTATTTTCCGCGTTCAGAACTGGATCCTGCACTTGATTGGCGCGAGACTCAACATGCATTGTTGCTTTGCATTTCTACGGCTGTGATTCTTACGGGTGCTTTCCATCAGCACTTCTAATTTTGGAACACGAAGCTGCCACTCACATCAACGTGCAACAGTTTTGCACCAAAAACCGCAATGCCAGCACCATCATCAATAGAAGAAATTGCATATGGCAGCTTGAACTGCACAAAGAAGCTGCCATCAAACATGTCCTTATCCACTCTTCCAGCGCTGGGCGGCGGCCGCTGCGGCCGCGACCGCTGATTGAGATGCCCCGATCCCGCCGAGAAATCAAGGCTTGCAGGTGTTTGCAAACGATGCTGGCCATAAGAGCACTAAAAGGTAGTACGAAACCATTGCAGCGGCCGAAATGGCCCAAAACGCTTGCAACCCACACATCTTGGTGTGCACCCTCAGCTCGTAAGCCCGGAAGACACAGATGGACGTTGACGCGCGTGAAACACATGATCCCTGTTGCCCTCACTCTGCGTAAAAGTGATCAACGCGTGCCTAGCGCCTGGAACTGTTTCCGTAAGACTTGTTGCTCTGTGATCCTTCATGGCAAACAGTTTTACATATGTGTCAATGACAATACAAACAATTTCTCGCAGCAGTGCGATAGAGCACTTGCGAAAAAAAGAAAGAGATGGCAAAAAGGCAAGAAAAAGGGTAAAGGAAAGGATTGCAAGGGCGGAGCCAAAATTCCAGAAAGGACCGGCGAGCCGAGGAGCTTACGTCTGGAGGACGAAGGGTATGCGACGCTAAGCCAGACTCGCTTGGACGGGAGAGAGGATCGACCGAAGCTGTTCTTTGCTAGTGGTATCCAAACGCTAAGCGGAGCATGGGTGAATTTACTCCACGAAACCACGCCAGACCACAAATTCAAAAATCGCATGGTGATTTCCGAACATCCTTGCCACCAGTAAACGGCAGAACAGTTGGCTCCCCGAAGGGACAAACACTGGAGCTGAAGCCAGGGAGTCGCAGTTCCGAAGGCCTGGCCGAATGGTCTTGTGAGCAGAGCGGGTACCAAAGAAAAGCCACTTAAGTGCGAAACAGAATTGCGAGTGGGCTCTGCAAACACCGCCAAAATGGGAAAGCGAATAATGTCTGGAGATCCGACAGAACACGGAGCAATTCATCCATCATTGCCACAATGCGCAGTGAGTCTGAACAATATTGCACTAATCCGTTTTTTGAGCTCTCGAGATAGCTCAACATCTCAGCCATGCCCAATAGGTCCTGTGTCCCCGGCACTCGTACCTTCCACAATGGAGGCCAATTCGTCTTGTGCCCAATGATAAGGGTCAATCCACAGAAATTGGAAATCTTTTGAAGAGGTTTCATTTCTTGGTCGTAAGGTTAAGCGCAACGGCGATTCCATTGACATCTTTTTGTCGCCAGAGTATGTTCAGGATTTGCTGAAACTGTATTGCCTTGAGTCCAGCTGCATTGTCTGAGACATTGCGTCGAAGGGACTGAGATGTGACTGATCACCTAAACATTAAAGCAAACACATTTTTTTTCGTCCCTTTGGCGTGCTGAATTCCAGTGCATTGCAAGAGTGAGAGATAAGAGAGAGAGAATTGCCTGAGAGACATCTTAAACATCTTCAAGTTTTTTTCTGTCAGGTGCGCTACGCGCCCGCCATTTGCAAAGTCATTGATTTTCTGACTCTGAAAATTTGAAGGATTC